GAGGAAGATTAGCCCTGAGCTAACATCTGTTGCCAATCCTCCTCTTTTTGCTGAGGAAGATTGGCCCTGGGCTAATATCCGTGCCCATCTTCCTCTACTTTATATGTGGGACGCCTGCCACAGCATGGCTTGATAAGCAGTGCATAGGTCTGTGCTCTGGATCCGAACCTGTGGACCCTGGGCCGCTGAAGCAGAGCACGTGAACCTAACCACTATGCCACCAGACCAGTCCCAGAAATATATATTTTTATGAGTTCATACTGCGGGGCCGGCCCAGTGGCACAAGTGGTTAAGTGCGTGTGCTCCCCTGTGGTGGTCCAGGGTTCACCGGTTTGGATCCTGGGCGTGCACCGACGCACCACTTGTCAAGCCATGCTGTGGCGGCGTCCCATATAAAGTGGAGGAAGATGGGCACGGATGTTAGCCCAGGGCAAGTCTTCCTCAGCAGAAAAAAAAGAGGAGGATTGGCAGATGTTAGCACAGAGCTGATCTCCTCACACACACACAAAAAAGAGTTCATACTGCAATCCCTAATTCCAATCCAGCATCACAGTTCTTTCTCACCTTCCCCCATTCCACAGTGAGAATTCTGGTTCTCGACATCCATATATTTACTCTTTTGCTCTACCGGGTGGAGTCTATCTTAAAGCACACCCCAAAGAGCTCCACAGTGACCTCATCACTACCATTGCCAACGACGAACATACTAAGAGGAAAGCCAATTCTTTTGGTTCTTAGAATACATCCCATGAAAGCAGTCCAGTCAGAGAGCTGAGTTGAAAGGCACCTAAATTGTTTTCTGTGTGGTTTGGTTATCAATTGGATATGCAGTTAGGCTCATTTGTTTTTGTTTTTATTCAATTTTAGCATTTGATTTTTTTCACTCTTTCAAATGTATTTTTGACCACATAAAATATTTACATGGTTCAAAGTCAAAAGTACACAAAAAGGTATATTCCAAGAAATCCCATACCCATCTGAACACCCTAGAGGTGACCATTTTCATTAGTTTTGCGTTTCTCCTTCCTATGTCTTTTCTTTTTTTCCAATAAGCATGTGTGTGTCCTTTGCACTCTGCTTTTTCCACATAACAATATATCCTGGAAATCATTTTATTTTTCATTAAAGATTTTCATTCTTTTTTACTGCTGCTTAGGACTATTGTATGAATGTAGCATAGTTTATTTCACCAGTTCCCTGCTGACGGACATGTACCTTGTGTCCAATAGTTTTCCATTACCAATTATGTTACAGTGAGTGGCTCTGTGAATGTGTTGTTTCATATTTGTGAAGTAACATCCTACATGCGGGATTGCTGGTTCCAAGGCAGTGCTCCAGTTTTGTACTTAGTTAATACTCTGTTTCATTCAACAACCAACAAACCACCTACTGCATAAACTGCACTGAACACGTACCAGTGATGATATATCAACAATACAGAAGAGAACAAAACGAAATTATAATTTCAGATTATTAGAAATGTTATGCAGCAAATTGAAATGGGCAAATGTGAAGAAGCGTGCTGGGGGTAGTATGTCAGATTGGTGATCCAGAAGCCCTCTCAGAGGTGACATTGGAGCCAAGATCCTAATGACAAAAAGGAGCTAGCCATGGGAGAGTTTGGGGACATAGTCTTCCAAATAGCAGAGTAAGTGCAAAGGGCTGAGGGCAGGCCACCCTTGGTCAGTAGCAGAGAGAAGGCCCCAGAGGCTGCAGAGAATGAGAAAGCAGGCAGGTGGGGTCGGAGGAACTGGGAGCCAGGTCACACAGGGCTTTTATAAGCTATGACAGGGAGTTTGGATTTGATTCCAAGGGCAATGGGAAATCGTTTTAGGATTTTAAGCAGGGACATGATATGATGTGATTTATATTAAAAATTAAGAACCGATTCTGTTGTGTAGAGTACAGGCTGTGGAGGTGCAAGGGTAGAAGAAAACCAGTCAGGAAGCTGTTGAAGGAGTTCAGAGAGAGACGGTGGCTCCCACAGGGGACTAGCAACGGAAAGGGAGAGAAGTTGGCTGATTTAGCATCTATTTTGAGGAGAGAGCCAACGAGATTTGATGATATAGTTCAGATTCATGTCCTTCCTTTTGATTACAAAGGAGGAAAATAGAAAAGCAACGACAATCACCACCAAAAATTTCATGTCACTTTAAAAACATATTTTTTATTAAAAATGTCATAAAAGATTACTGTCAAAAATTTTAGGGAAGGCCGGCCCCGTGGCTTAGCGTTTGAGTGCGTGTGCTCTGCTGCTGGCGGCCCAGGTTTGGATCCCGGGC